AAAAGTTCTCAGTGTATTTGACCCTGGCCGTAAAATTACTTCCCTGCGGCGTTTTGGAATAGAAACAATGACAGCAAAGATCAGACCCGGGAGTGGCGCAGGCTTCTCTGGAGGAGGGATTTCGGCCCCCAGATCACCAGCACTCGCCCCGTCTCTGACGCCCCAGGACAGGCCCTTGGAGGCGGAGAGATCGCTGCTGGCTGCCTGAGGTATCTCCCTGGGCAGCTCACAGCAGAAGGTGCACCCGCCCTGAAGTGGCTTACAGTCCTACGTCATGAGGGAATTTGACTTGTTTTTGCAGGTTTCTAAGACTTATAGGTGATTAACCAGAACGCCCCACAAGAACAGTTTCTCCTGAGTACTCTACGCCCAAACTGCAAAAGCAGAGGTAGGTCAAGTTCAACCATGAGTCCATCGAACCCACAGTAAACTTAAGTACCAGGAGACAGAGAAGGCGTTTCATGTGTATGCATATTAAGATCGTATTTACAATGACGTTGAGCACCAGTATAATTTTTTCTTTGCAAAAATTAAGCATTTGGTCATGTTAAATTTTCTTTATTAATTTTAAGCAACCTGGAAAGACATTTCTCAATCAAAATGTATTGATCACCTACTAAATGAGAGCACTGTCCTAAAAGAGATGGGACCAGGGTTAGTGAGGGACTCTTAAGCCACTGGACAGATCTAGAGGTTAGGAAAACAACTGCAAATTAAAGGGAAAAGCCAGAATATTCCACTGTGGTTCTTGCCTATCTGCTTGCCTGAGTTACAAGTTGTGTTGACGACATGTAAACAACACTACACCCCTTTTCACTCCAGAGAGCTAATAGCTTCCACTCTTTATGCAGCGTCCTTAGGATGAGTATCCGCAGGTGGCGATTAGTGGAGGACAAGTGGCTGCCCAGGAATGTAGGGAATCCCCAACTGGCAGAGGTTGGTCTGTGGTCAGATTTAACGCAGGTTGCGAGGTTCAGGACTCCAGTGGAGCAGAGCTTCTGGGTCACAGAAAGGCAAGTAGGAGGAAGAGACTGGAAAGTGCAGACTGTATGGGGAATGGCAAGGCGCCCTTTTAGTCCACGTCATTGCTTTATTGTTTGTGCAGGACGCCACTCAGGGGGCACCGCAGGGGACTCGGGTCCTGCGTTCAGGGAGCTGAAAAATATAAGCAGGAAGTGAGTGCATGTGCCGTGGAATCTAGAAAGGAGATGAGTGAACCTGTCCCGGAATATAGAAAGGGGGTGAGTGAATATGCTGTTAAATCTAGAAAGGGAGTGAATGCAAAATGCTATGAAATCTAGAAAGAGGGTGAATGCATATGCCATGAAATCTAGAAAGGGAGTGAGTGCATATTCTAACAAAAGTGGCACCTGCTTGGACCAGGCCACTGTGCCAGTGAGCCAGGACCCTACACTGTAGGGTGATGGAGGCATTGGCCCCCAGGGCCTTCTACTCAAGTGCTCTGTGTGCTGCGTTGGAGGCCTTGACAGGCAACCCACCCATGCAACACACGGGGCTTTCCGTAGGGCCGCTGTTAGGCAAGCTTGCTATACAATCACACGGGTCCTTCTCTCTTAGGGACCCACGGGAGCACGTTGCTTTTAGTCTTAGCATCAGGAGCAATTGTCTGAGCATTTGGGTGAGGTCATCACTCGGAGGCCTGTGTGTGCCCAGCTCCCCCGTGGCCTCCACATTCTTAGCTCCAGTGTGTTCTTGTTTCTCTCTACCCTCATCTCTATTATTTATTTCTGAATTTAAAAAAACAAAAAACTTGTTAATTGCATATACCCCTGTAAACTGCCTTATATCCTTCCTTTGGAACAAGGTAGAATATAAATAGAGTAGTCCATCTCATAAGAATCATAGAATGGAAAAGTGATCTAAATCTAATGCATGAAGATCAGAAAATGCCTCCCAAAGGGCAGGGAGGCCCTGGTGTAGGTCCTGTCCAACCCTCCCCGGGTTTTGGAGGGACCAGTCTAGACACCGATTTCAATAACCCAAGCGTGGAGGTAAAAGGTCTGGAATAAAGTAATCTTGCAAAGGGGACGGGAGAGTGCGATGTGTGCATGCTGGTCACTGACGTTGACTTCACCAGGTGGTGCAGGCACAGGTGATCCTCACCACAGCCCTTTGAAAGAGGTGCCCGCATTGCCCCCACTTTCCAGAATAGCAGAATGAGACTCGGGACTCCAGGTAGTGAGAGCCAGGGTGGTACTGAAACTGGGGCAGACATACTCTGAAATCCGCGCGTGGGCTCTGCTGGCTGGAGTCTTCTTGGTCAGAGTGGAAAGCCCACTTACAGATGTCCCAGATGACAAGAAGGGAGCCGAGCAAAGGAAATAGAAGGAGTCTCATGTCTAGTTTTAAATTTTCTAGTAGCCACATGAAAAAAGAAAAACAAGTGAAGTTAATTTTAATAATCTACTTTGTGTAACACGTGTCTAAAACACTTCAAATGTAATTAATACAAAATATTGGTGAGATATTTTACATTATTTTTTTTTATAGCGATTCTTTGAAATCCAGTGTGTACTTTACATGTACAGCACATTTCAAATGCTCGGTGGCCACATGTGTCTGGTAGATACTGTATTGGACGGTCACGTGTAGACTGTTCCGCAGAAGGGCTCAGATTTAATAGAATTAGTAACCATAACATTGGTAGATAGCTCGTCCCAGGAGTAGGGCTTTGTGTCTCCATTGGCCATGTCGCCCAAAATATCACCATGGAACCAGATATGATGGCACTAGAAAGCTGAAGGTTGCATAAGTTCAGTTCTGAATCTGCAGTTTTCAGATTGGAGGGAATATGTATATATAACTTCCTGTTGACTCGCTTCATGCTTTTTTAAAGGGCAGAATGAAATATCTGCGTTTACACTGAAACTTTGTATGCCTGGTAGCAATAGTGCTGTTTTCATCTCAACCCCGCTCTGACACCTTCATGCATAAACATCTTATTTGTGCGTTCCCCACTTACAGATACTCCTGGCATCATAACACATTTTCTGGTTTTTTGTTTGTTTTTTTAAATATATCTTTATTGATTTCAGAGAGAGGAAAGGAGAGGGAGAGAGAGAGATAGAAACATCAATGATGAGAGAGTCATTGATCGGCTGCAGCCTGCTACCCGGGCATGTGCCCTGACTGGGAATCGAACCCTGATCGCCTGGATCCTAGGTCGACGCTTAACCACTGAGCCACGCCTGGCTGGGCCACATTTTCTGTTTTGCCTGTGGACAGTTAGTTTCTTGAGAACGATATATTTTATCATTTTGAAGAACAGCCTTCTTTTTTTTTTAAAAAAAATATATATTATTGATTTCAGAGAGAGGAAGGGAGGAGAGAAAGATAGAAACATCAGTGATGAGAGGGAGTCATAGATCAGCTGCCTTCTGCATGCCCCCCACTGGGGACCTAGCCCGAAACTCCAGTATGTGCCCTGACCAGGAATTGAACCTCGACCTCCTGGTTCATGGGTCGATGCTCAACCACTGAGCCACGCTGGCCGGGTCAAGAACAGCCTTCTTCAGGGGCTAGCAGCCCAGAGAAAGAGTGACTATCTGATGGATTGCCACAGAATTAGCTTCTAAGAGCTCACGCTCAGATTTGGTAATGAGACTACATCTAACCCGGCCTTTCCCTCTGTGGAACACTGAGCTGCACTGCAAAGTCTTATAAAGCCAGTCTCGTAGCTCACATGCCACTTGTGATTATCAGTGCTGTGTGTAACGTGTCATTGAGTAACTTAACCCCTTTACCGTGTGCATGTTGCAGAGTGGATTTAATTTCATTTTTCTGCAAAGTTAAAAAAAACACCCCACTGTAGGTTCTTACTCTCAGTTCCGTGAATAAGAAATTTGTTTTCAGTTCAGGGCCTGGTCTGCAGCAAACTCCTCGCCGGGCTTTCTTGTAGATGGCTTGTTTTCATGATCACTAGTGCATAATAAGGGAATTCCACTCACTTTCTTTGTTCTGGTTTATTTTTCCCCGTGGACAGTGCTTACTGTAAAAAAACTAAACAAAACAAAACTGTTAAGTAAAATACGTGTGGCTTTTCTCAACTCTAATTGCCCTATCAAATTTAACAGCTAATTCGGCGTAGTTATTGGTAACCAAATATCGACGGACAAAAAAAATACCATGACTTATTTAAAAACAAAACAAAAACCAACCTCAAAACTAACGAGCGTGGCTGTGTGGTCTCGTCTATACCATTATACGTCTCTGGTTGTGGGCTGTCCAGGGACAAACAGAAAAGCAAGAATTTTTTTTTTTTAAGTTTATTGTTGAAAGTACTACAGGTACCCCCCTC